CAATTATCTGTTTCTATATCTGTCTATCTGCAGTTATTATCTCCACTTTATTTGCCGGTCTTATATATTAAAATAGAGGGCGTCTGGCAAACACTCGAGCGTTCATGATCCTTTCAGAAACTCATCTAGTGTTACCAGCGTCACTTGACTTCCGCTGTCGTAACAGTATATTTTAATGACTTCACAAGCTTTTGTTGCTCTTAATGGTTATTAATATACAGTTCGAGTGTATTTCAAACATCCTGTTTTCCTATCTATTTATTCCTCTGTTCAAACATGTTTACCTTTATGATTACTTCTATTTCCATTCGTGTATTATTGTTATTATTATACTACTGCCTGTCTTATCTAGATATAGCTGAGTAAAATTATTTATTATCTCTCTCCTATTAACTTTTCTAATCAAATAATTTATCTACAAGTCTGTATCTTGTGGAATGTTTTCGTATCATCAACTTTGTTTCTTCATTGTCCTGTTAGCACTATATTTTAGATACAGTTTTTCACATCTGCAAGTTCTAATTATTTTATATGTCAAGACCACATTCACTGAATTCTCATGAACTTTACGATATTAAATCAAAACCGAAACTATTTGCCTAATGCACCGGTGGAAAACTGATACACACATCAATCTCTCGTAACTGTACATGTATATCAAATCGATTATTAATGCTTATTCTATAGTCAGATCTTAATTGTGTACAGATTAGGTGTTAGAAAAAAATGAGAACCCTTTAAATTCAGATTGTTGTGTTTGTAGAGATTGATCTGTTCAACAGCCAACGTTCATAATCGCAGTTAAACAAAACTCGACATCACACTAAACTACTGTGGCGAAATTAAAGGTATAAAAAATAACAACACAGATGCAAAACACGTAAGCATGTTTCTTTATGAAGAAGGTTACATTTTTAATATCATTGTGATCATTAAAAAGAACAACATCATTAGCTGGAAGATGAACTCATAAGAACAACATCATTAGCTGGAAGATGAACTCATAAGACATTAGTGTCCAGTCGTCCTTGAGTAGTATATACCTTCATTTC